TTATTTAGTGGCCTGGCTTAGCAATTCAACTCCTGTTCGTCCTCAAATCCCACCTTTAGCCCTACCCACCCTTGCTTAGGACCAGCCTTTAAAGGTCAGATTGGCCAAAACTTTGGAAAGGCACAATAAGTTTAACGTGCTAGGATGCCGTCGTTATCTCGCGGTAGATGAAATGGTGCTTCGGCTGTCAGCTTGGTGAGTCCTCATTCGTTTGACCTCGTCCATCAAGAGTACGAGCATTTCAAAAGTGGGGAGTTGTCGTATGATGGAGGGTGGCTGCAAAAGGAAATTGTTGAGCTGATAAGTAACCGAACTGAACGAGAATACACGGTTACTACCGTAAGTTTGTATTGATAATGTCTTTGGATTAGTATTGAGGATTAACTCTGATCGTTTACTCTTAGACAATTGTGTGCTCTTGTTTCGTCATACATACGCTTTTACTCCCATGCCTTCATACGATGTTTTTCCGTGCCACAATGAAGAAGGAAAAGGTAATCCCCTTGAACACTATCCATTCTCGATGGCTTCTACAATCAGAATCAAACCGCTCTTACGAAGACGAGTCCGACGGCGATAAAAATTCCTGTTCGTCTTTTAGAGTTCAATCGTCGCACATGCGCTTTATTGAAGATGCAGTATTGAACGGAACAACCAAGTTGAAAAAGGCGATGGATATAGCTTTGAGGGGGGGGGGGGGTCGTGAAGGCAATGAACTCTCAAGGAACTCGTGCTTTTATTCAGACGGCGAGGGCCTTTCGCGAGTTTGGAGAAGGCGTACGTTAAGGGGTTGTGCCGAAACTGAAAAACTCTCAACGGGCTTTAACCCACGAGCTGGACTATCGACTATCAACGCTTTTTACTGCAACTCGGGATGAGTCCAATATTGACTCACCTTTGCGCAGTCGATCTGCTCAAGATCAAGAGAGTGCATGTTCAGACGGAAGTTTCTCCATTACGTGTACTGGGGATTCATCTGCAGGAGGTTTCCGAGATGACTCAAACCCATGACAACGGAGAAGAGTTTAACGAGGAGAGCGACGGTGGTGGGCACCCCAATTCAGACTGCGACTGATTAATGAATGAGAGCAATCGATTGTTAGCTGAAACGAACCGAACTATGTCTCGAATCCGCGACATGGTATCTTCGGGACTACTGCTCGACTTGCAAAGGAAAATGACGTTCAGCAAACCGACCAGTTGGCCAGCTCCACCAACCAATCTATCCAGACGACAAACAAGTTGACAAGCACGAAGCAGTCGCAGGTGGATACAGTGGATAGAACCAGTGCCTTGAGCACTAACCAATTGGTGACAGATATCAACCAGTTGGTGAGTCCCACCAACCATTCCGTGAATGACAGCAACTGGTCGGCTATCAACACCAACCAGTCTGTGAACGATGAAGACGAGTTGGCGGACAAGCCCACCAATGATACTAACCAGTTGGTACTTCAAAAATACCTGTCAAACAAAAGGGATGACAGTAGCCCCGGTGACAGCTGAACCCTGAGGATTTCGCACGACACTTTCCCGTTAGCACTGGTGTCAAAATCAAAGGAAGACAAAAACATATTAGACGGTAACAAGCTCGTGAGACGAAGAGGCTTGGAATGGATGAATCTGTTGCATAAGCAGCAGGTCAAGTTGATGCACCACCTTGGAAGGTCACCTCCATCGTGCAGCTTTCGCAAAAGCAAAAGATTCACAAGAAGGTCGCGATTGTGTTTCCGAAGAACTACGTTACCAAATGTATCGCAGATATCAACATGTATCGGAAATCGCTAGCAAGTGACCATGATCGTTGCAGAATGGGGGTATCTATCAAGAAACGTGGTACATTCATCGAGAAAGATTTGATCACGATGAGAAATTGGCATGATGAATCGCCGAAGTTCGTCGCTTTTAGTGACCTAGCTAAGGCTATCACGTTTCACACGTATTCCGCTACCTAGTCTTCTTAGCAATTGTGTAACTGTGGACCTACAAGCCTGTGGGAAGTGTCTGGAAACCGTTAATTTAAGTACTACTGTGGACACCCACTTCGGACAGGTCGGCATCGAAGAATTAGCATTCTTTAGAAGTTCCGAGTGGTTGGATGATTCATGCATGAAGCTCGTAATAAGCCACCTAATGAGCCAAGATCAAGATGGTCAAGGGAGGAGCCGTACTGGTGGTGTAAATCCACTCTATTTAAGCGTGCATGACGAAGCCATGAAGCTGCAAGTAGTAGTTGAGAGCTCTCCTCTCCACCGTGGGAACTGTATGATTCTTGTTTGGTGTATCTCGACGGACACTAGACAGGAGTTGTATTTGACAATGAGAAGCATAAAATGGTGCTGTTTGACCCCATGCAGCCGAGGAAGTATTTCAACGAAGCTTGCAAAGTCATGGGAAAAAAAACTTTGGAAAATAATCTGCCAATTTGAGGTTGTCCCGCCACGGGCACCTCATCAAGAAGATACCAATAGCTGCTGTCCACTGGTTCTACTTTTCTTCGAGTGCATGGTGCGAGGCATGGCGCTTCCTAACGTTGCCAGATAGCAAATACTGTACTTGCGATATTGCTATCTATTCTTGACTAGCAAGGGCATATTTTGTAAAAGACCAACGTAGTCACGAGGAAAAACTAACTCAAAACAATACATATCATCCTGCATTATTCTAGTTGCAGTCACCTCGTAAGTAAATGGTACCATCAGATGTCGCTGTTTCACAAACTACAAGTAGATTTGAACAGTTCGCCTTGGTCTGAACGCTACTTCTCCATTTAAAATCGCACCATTCAGCCCACGTAGAGTATAAGAGAGTCGTTGTCGACGAAGTTACTCTAACACAAATGCCAGATGCCCAAGCGAAATGGTTGGAAGTGCGGAGTGTGCAGGCACGAGACTTCGAGCTACTGGTGACTGACTTCATCTAGTATTTTTCACATACGCGCAACATCCCAGCAACCCATTATGAAATCTCTACAAAGACCTCGTTTGTAGATAATTCCGTTCGTAACTATAAAACGCCGGTTCGTACTTATAAGGATATATTACGTACTTAAGCAGATAAATTACGGCTGACAAACCAAAACCAAACTTGTCGATAAGTCTGTTGGTGATTTACGGTAGGTACTGCCATAAATTACGAACGAACTTAGCGCCACCATACAACTTAAATGGGAATGGAAAAAATCTTTCGAGAGATCCGATTGGCCGGGATGGCATTCAGACGAAAAAAAACATTAATTTTTATGATTTTGTTTTCGTCTGAATGCCATCCAACCTAAGTCGGTTGATGACAAATGTCCTTTCTATGCAAAATAGTTGGTGATCCTAACGAATGGCGTTACAGCAACCCAAACTTTCATGAGTTACGAACTGACGACGGAAATTATGGCAACCTTATCACTAAAGCAAAACTTCTAGCAACCTTACCAAAGCTAAAGTAGCCTTAGATAAGAGCAATCTATAATAAAATACAAGTAAAGGACGGTCTGTGGACCACCTCGGGACTTGTTTTGACGAGTTTTTGAAATTTAGAGAAAACAGCTAAGTTCGCTCGAGATCACACACTCACAAAGACACTCGCAGAAGGGTGCATACACTCACCAAGGACATCATCAACAACGGGTCATGAACGACACCTCGCTGGCGCGTGATCTGGTACGTGCCCAACTTATTGACCTCTCCACGATGAGAGAGAAGCTGGAGCAGATCGGCACGGGCCTGGAGGTGATCATGCAGGCTCAACTTGAGCTTCAGGCCTGGGTTGAGGAGCAAGAAGAGCGAACCTACGAGCTGTCGGAGACTGTAGGCGACCGCACCATTGGCAAAAACCGACGAGGAGATATTATCATTTGATATGTTACTAGAAATATTGGTGAAGAAGCTAGCGAAGCAGAAATAAGCATTAAGAGGTAGCAAACTGTATTGGGATTGAACGACAAATAGCGTTTACCTATCCTAGTTGCTTCTGTAGTAGCTCGCGAATTCGATTAGCCTTATCAGCGTCATACACGGAGTTGGAGCGCTCTTTGGAATGACTTACTACCATCCAGATCATTCTCAGGCGCATAACACCCACATCCCTCTTCGAGACTCCGTGTTCCTGTAGTCGCATACTATCTGTAAGATAGCTCTACGCTTGTGCTATGACCAGGACGCCACAGCTGATGGCATCAGGTTGTTGCGGCGTCTTGATCCGCTCCACCGGGCTTATTGTAACCTGGTATCCACTGGCAGAAGCACAATGCCAGCGTTTTACAAAGTCAATAAGACCTTTCTTCCCCTCACTCTCTTCCACATTATTCTTTCCCTTGTGTTACATAATTCCTTCCCACTCGCAATCATTTGTTCTTGATATTCTTCATCGATGAGCGGTTCGTACATGAACACTTGTACCTGTAGCGTTTTAGTCGCGACATCGCAATACAGACGCACCGTTATGAGACCCCAGTGATTTGCACTTAAACTCACTGGGTGAACGATGAACTTTGTGTAGAGTATTTGTGTCTTCGGTGATGTTGGCCAGCCCACCACTCCCAACAAGGTTGAAAGCATGAGCGACTGTCCAATTGATCCCACAATTGCCTCCAGACAGAAATCTACAGCGCTATCGTTCAACCAGCCTTGACATAGAGCACCAATTATGTTGTCAAATCCGAGCCACAGCGTATTTGAACGCGTCACAAATGTAGTGCGCAGTGGGCTGGATGCAAATTTTGAAATAGCGTCATTGGCAACCTCTTGGTACCGGATACGGACAGCATCCGGCACTAGTCCAGCAGTGTTCGTTGCGACATCAAAAAGTTCCACCACAGAATCAATTTTTCTCCAGTCCTGCTCGAGCCACTTTCTGTTTTCAATCCATGATCTGCATTTAGCCTTCATATCGTAGAACGCGGTCATGGCACAGGCATAATCTCTGGAAATACACAAGACAGTGTTCTGTTAGACAATCGTTTGAATCCGTAAGGTTTGGTAAAACAACCGTATTAAAGCAACCCTTTTATAGCAACCCTTTTAAAGCAACCATCACTATATAGCAACCTTACCCGCTGAATTTCCATAGTTTGGGGTTAATGGTGATGACGACGTCGTTCATGAGACCTTGCTTCTTCATGTTCTTGTCAAGCTTGACGGGGAACATTTGATCGGCCTTGGTTGCTACAGTCATGGTCTGTATTGTTCTAGCTAGATCAGCAGGAATGACAAATGTGTGCATGTAGTGTGACTTCCCAGCGGCACTCCATCGATCTTCCAGCTGAACAGGATATTTCTCCAACATCTCCAGAACATCCTTCAGATTAGGGGCGTTCTTTGTCCAAGTTAACAGCTCCTTCAATGATACTGTTACATGAGTTGGGTACTTGTGAACAGCTAGACGGTCTGCCCCTCGTGAAAGGTTCGACTGCTTGAGCTGCGTTCTTGGCTTCCTTTGCGTTTTGGCTTCGTTACATTAATAATATCTACCTGTCGCACAGCTGTCTCTGTCGTGGCCTCAATAGGTTTTGGTTCCTCGCTTGGACAGGGTTCCTCCTTAATCGATATCTCAAGCGACGCTGGTGATTCTTTTGCTGAATCATTTGATTTAGATGATGGTAGCTCGTATTCTTCCCCATTTTTTTTTATTTTGAACTGGCTCCGTAGTCTGAGTTGGCGGTACGTCGTCCTCCAGCTCGCTATCATCATTGGTGCGATCACCAGTGCTCACGGATACGTTCTCGAATTTTTATATTAGTTTCACTGTCTCCATTTTGTCTGTAGGATCAAATGTAAGAAAAGGATCAATTTGAGTTTCACATTCAGTGATATCTTGGTCGGAATTAACCGGCCTAGCCTTCTCGCATTTTAATCCCAATTCTATGGTTTCTTTCCACGTATTAAGTTCTTGATAAAACTCAGCACTTGACAGACTTGACAAATGGTCGAGAAGAGGTTCCAGCATCGCCTTTGCAGTATTTTTCAGCCGACGATAATACGACTTGATGTGCGCGCTCGTTACGGCGAAGGCGAACGTATACCACCTCTTTCATCGGCTTTTGAACTCCTGTCTTCTTAGACTGTTCATCATTCGGCGACCCATACGGCGATCCATTGGGCGACCCATACGGCGATCCATTGGGCGACCCATACGGCGACCTTACCTTGGGCGACCTTACCTTGGGCGACTTTAGCTTTGACATTAACACAATTGAGTGCAATGTGGCTGCTGCCGCCGCTAAATCATCCCTGACATCCAGCGCACATGACATGCTCCACCGTTCACCGATCGACATAGCAGGAAGTAGCTCGAATTCATGCTGCTTGTCAGCCACGTACATTAAATGGCGGCATGGCAAATGATGACTGCTGTAAAATAAACATGTACATGTCCACTCGACGTCGTCGCACCTGTGTGCCTCATTGAAACAGTGGGCTTTCCAACCGGAGACACTTGATGCGATTCGTTCGCATTTTGCGTCGCCCATAAGCGTTATAAACCGTACCCACTCTTGTTTAAGCGTTGTTAGTATGTTCGTAGCCAATCTGGTGGCAAAACCTCTCAGAAACCGAGGAACGGTCTTCGATACTCGTGTGGTCGAGTTATGCTGATCAATTGTAGAAGCGATATTATGCGCGATAGTGATCTGATGTTGAAGTAGCCCCGTAATTGTCTTGTCGATCCGAGTTTTGTGCCCCAACAGCATTTTAACTTGGTTCCAATTTGATTCAATATGGTTGGTGGTCGTATTTCCACCCCTGAAAAACTTGCTACGAGAAAACTTGGACTACCTATCCCGGCACGAATTCCAATTCTTTTCAAAATACGTGAAAATCGTCCGTCGTTTCTGCTCTTCACAATAACGCCTTAATGCTGTATAGTGTGTGTCGTAGTCAGTCTCACTGGTGCTTTAAACATTGAAAAAGGGAGTTAGATCGAAGTTAAAAAAAAAATAAACTAAATATACGAAGTATTACCAGTATAAAGCCGTGTCATCAATACGATGAGGTCTTCCTGTTGAGAAATAGTCAAGCGGAACGTTGATCGCTTCATTACCTTCTTCCAATAAGTAATTGCGTGAAACTGACACAGCACAACTTTGGCATCTGGAAACGTTTTCATCAGTACCCGCCATTCTACAAAGTCCTTGTCAATCACGACTGACACGATGTTACGCCACCCCAGGATTCTTTTCCTTGAAGTAAGTAAGGATAGCTGAAATAGTCACAGCCTGCTGATCCCGGTAGATGAAATCTAGAACAGGGAATCCCCTTCCAGTAGCTGACTATCTGCAATTAATAACCAAACCAGAATTTGACGTTAGACACAACATTGCTACACGGTTGCCATGCTGAGGTTGCTGAAGGTTGCTATTACCAAATAAGGTTGCTCAAAGGTTGCTGTAAAACACGTACCCAAGTGATACCCCAGATTGTTGGTGCCGTGCGTGAACTCCATGGCGAGTGTCTCGCCCCATCTCTAAAAAAATAATTTTTGCACCTTGGTTTGCATTACGATCCCGCGTGTGATATCCATCTGGTCTTGGAGGAAGAGAACGTCGTTCCCTTCCAACTGCACCAGAGCGTGGAGAATATTTTTTAATCGCTCTTCTGCTGAATCTTGGCCGACGATATTGCGAATTTGGTTACGGGTTTGTTGTGGTGTAATTCTGCAGTCTGTTAGTATGTAAAATAAATAAATCACAATTAAGATTATCGTGTTACTTTCTTGTTCACAAAATTAAGCTTTCTCACCAACCCGGTCGTTCAGGAAATCGGTAATTTGCTTGGATGAGGCTCGGGCATCGGCAAGCGTCTTGACATCTTCGCGATCTTGTTCATCAATCGGTAATGTTTTAGTTGTCATGTATGAAGCAGCATCTGCACGCGTGTTGAGATGGGAGTGGGTGTGATTCTATAAGTAAAAAAGGAAACACATGTTAATGGCTCACTAAGTTTCGCAAAACAAACGTAACATACCTCATTTCTGATAAAAATCTGGAATGTTCCGCCGTCCACCTTCATCACAGTTGGCGTGAAGCGCGCCAAGCACCCACAGTATCGGGCTTTGCGATTCGCTGGCCAGTAAAACGCGAATTTTGTGAGATACCGTGCGTACAGCGGAAAATTCTGTAGCTCCTACAAAAACTTGCAGGTATTTCATCCGCGTGGTTTCTACAAATAAAAATAGTTCATGCTCGTTAGAGATTTTTGAATAATTAAAATCCATATTTTTAATGTACCCACCTGTTGTATGTTGCCGATGCCTCCGAACACGGAAATGGAGATTGTGGCTTTTTGTATAGGATGCGAGTATCGTGTCAAACTCGGTCCACGACTTGATCGGTACTTTGGGAAATGGGGCGACGATAGTCACAATTTTTTTCTTGCTGCACTGCCATAGTATCAAGCTCAGCGATATGCTGGCTAGCTCGCTTGCGTGGCTTGTACCCATCGAAATCTCCTTCGCTGCTAGCCATTGTATCCACGCCCTCCACGTACTCTGTACTTCCCACACTTTCGACTGTGTCCGTGTTCTCTACATTCTCGGCACTCTTCACACTATCCACACTCCCCACTTTACTCTTCGACGCTTGCTTCTCCACTTCACTCTCCCCATTCTCACCACGCTCTGACCCCTCCACACTATGACCACTCTTCACATTCTTCGACGCCTCCACACTCTCCACTATCTCGCCACCTTCCGCGCTCTCCACTTTCTTGTTACTATCCACTTCCTCGCCATTCTCCATGAACTTCATTTTCTTGCCAGTCTCCACGTTCTTCACATTCTCGCCAGTCTCTACTTTCTTCAATATCTCCACAATATCAGACCGTTTCGATTTTTTCTTCGTGGGCTTCTTGGGTTTCTTACGCAGTGCTTTGTCGGTTTCAGGAGCTCGTGATCGCTTGTTATTGCCCTTGTCACTTATAGTCGTTGTCGCTGCCTTGAAATCTGCATAGCATTAACTACTGTGTTAGCTCCGGGAATCCAAAACCATTCATGCTAATCATGTAACAACATCATAATCATAGGCAACCATACAGCTACTTTGTCGTACGGCAACCATACAGCAACTTTATCGTACAGCAACCATACAGCAACTTGGCTGACATGACACCATCGAGTATGAATGATAAACGTACCCGAGGTTTTGCGTGTTCCCCCCGATCGTCCGGTTTTCCTAGATGACATTCCTTGCGCTTGTTTACGCGCTAAATGGCAACATAATCGATGCATACAAACTCGGTAACCTAGAAGAAGTCTTCACACGAATGTAATACAGCTTACCGCCTTGCTTTCTTGTTTTCAACGCTTTATGGTCGTCGAGGACGGCGCCTTCGTCGCCTAGAGTGAAATCTTCATCACTGGAATGATCTTTCTCGATGCCGAGAGTTAGTGGAGGGTAGTGTGGCGAATCACTACCCTTGGACTCGCTTCGTAAGCTTCGGCCCACGACACCAACCCCACAGTATTAGTTAACAGAAATCGCGGTCAAAGTTTTACACAGTCGCCATAGCTTGCCGCTCATGGATGCCAACGCTTCTTCTTCTCCCGAGTCGTGAACTGCTGGCCTTCACGCGTTGTGTGCTCTGTATCCCTCCCCGCGTACAACGAGTCCCGCAGCGTCGCCCGTGCCGCGTGTCGACCTCGTTACTCGGATTTTGGGAATGAGCGGTTCAGAGTTGACGTACTTAGGAAATTATTTACAGTAAGTGCGTACTTAACGCCAGGAGTCGAACTTAGGAGGTAACGTAAGTTTTGAAAAAAAATATTTTACGCTAAAGAGTTTTTTTAAATTTTACTAAAGCAACCTTAAGTCCTTAAACATGTCTCACTGTTAAAACAACTCCGGATCCTAACAAGAGCCAAAATTTAATTAAAATCAATCAAAATTAATATAGCTATACAGCGACAACAATGGCTCGGGGCCAAGCGGGCGGCACGCAGTCGAGCTCTCATAGAGAAATGAAGCTGTTTCTGCGCAACCGCATGTGGCGCGACCACTGGTATGTGCTAGTTTCCGTGGTCGTGGTCATGGTGGCGCTCTTCAGCTCGGCCTTCCTGCAGTTCTCGACGTCACAGGACCACGTGTATCGGCTCGAGGTGACGGATTCGAAGCTAATGGAACGTGTGTTTCGCTCTGGAGAACCGTGGGTGGTGCTATGCTCGGGTCCGGACGACGTGTTGCCCGAAGTTTTTGACAAAGTGTCGCCGCGTCTTGCTGGCAAGAGCTTCGTGGGCGTATTGGACTGCAAACAGAAGCTGCCGGCATCAGGCAAGTCCGTGCTTAAGCGCTACGGCATCAAGAGCAGCATCTCACCCACTATCTTCACGGTGGCCAACGGGGAGAAACCCAAGCAGGTCTTCCTCAACTACTTACAGTCGCCTGCCGCACTGGCTAAACACGTCACAGCTCGGACGAAGAAGGCCATGCAGCAGGTGCAAAACTCAGCGCAACTGGAAGCTCGTTGTCTGTCTAGGCCCAGTTGTGTGCTCTTCCTGCGCGGTCAGAGATTCCAGCCCTACGAGAAGCAATGGATAGACGAGCTGATGCACAAACATCGCACGCTGAGCTTCGCGTGGATTGACGCAACGAGCTTGAAGCTGTCGCTCGAGAATATGCTGCCGGATGCTCAACGTGGAGAACACCGCATGGTGCTCTTTCGACGCCAGCGCGATCCTGATACAGGCAAAAAGGTGCTGGTGGCGAAGGCGTTCCGTGGTGCTGCGTTTGATGCCGTGTCTGTGGGAGCGTTCCTCGACGACTATGCCCATGCAGACTCCCTCAAACCACTGGGAAAGACTCCCAAAGTCTTGCGAAAGAAGAAGAGTCAAACTTCGCAGCCAGACCAGTCGGGAGATCGCGAGCGCAGGCATCCCAACCGTAGGCGTCACAATCGTCACAAGAAGCGCGTCTCTGAGGAGGAGAAGGACGACGCCTATTACTTCCCACAGCATCAGGACGAGAGCGACGATGGATCGAATGTGATCGATGACGTTGAGGAGGAGGAGGACGTGCTGGACCTCGACGACGAAGACTAGAATTACGGTAAAGTGCAAGTATCCGTGGGTACGAGTTACTATCAACAACTCACCAGTAACAAGATACATGGTCTGTGGTTTTCATCCTTCCTAACAAAATCACGCGACGCATTGCTTCTTAGGGGTGTTGCCTTCCACTTGAGCAACTTTCCTCTTACCACACGACTGCGGCGCTAGAGGAACTTGATCTGCGTTTGGGGTATCAGTAGGACCTGCCGGCAGCGCCACCTTCTTGCAGGGAGGTTCAAGACGCCGATTGTGATGAGCAGAGCGTGTTCGACGCTTGCCCAGCACACGAGTCGACGGAATCTCCTTGACTGCTTGAAGACGTTGGCGGCGAGAAGCTCCGAGCATTCCAGAGGCTTCCGAGTTCGATCGCTCCAGCTGTGACCGGATGGCTGAGCTGCCAGCGGAATACCGACGCTTGCGGTCTTCGACGCCCTGTGTCACTTGCTGCAGAGATGACAACCAGTCGAGCGACGTGTACTCTTTCAGACTGACATAGCCATCTCGAGTTTGCGGAGGTTTCCCAAGGAACTCGACGAATGCAGGACAGTTCCGAGCAGTGGGGTGGTTCTCAATCCACTGAAGCAACGCCTCAAACTTGGTACGTCGTTCTTCTAGCACCGCCTTCGACGACGACACACGCCAGAGCAGACCGACCAGCGCTGGTGAGATGTACTCCTTCACTGGAAATGGCGGCAAGCTGCTGGTGTCGCCCTCCGAGACGGCAACCACAACACGAATCTGCTCGTACAGCTTCAAAAAGTCGTTGTAGCGTCTCAAAATGGAGTAGTGTTCGACGCCCAGCACTGACTCGTTATCGCTGGACCTGTCATCATCCTCGTCGCTCTCGTTTTCCTCGATAAACGTCGACAGGAGCTCTTCCTCGTAGAAGGACACGTCCACTCGGTAATACCAAACGCCAGTGGCTGGAGCCCGCGAGAAATTGTCAATCGCGAGGCCACGGCGAGGCCTTCGCGTGGCCTCGATCAACTGCTGCTCCGTTCGGCTGCTGCTGCTGGCTCTGGCTTTTGTCATGCACTAGGTGTGGACAGTCGTCGTGGAGAAATAAACCGCCAAGCAGAGAGTTCAGCTCTACGCGGAGGGATTTCAAGAATGGCAAGTGATTTCGAAGTCGAACGAAGGGATGCGTGATTGCCACCCAAATAATTTGACCAGCGGGATATCGAGTTTGCGATTTCCAGCCACGAAAAAATCAAAACTCCACCACGTGGTGCTGTGACACAAGGTATAACCAGGCCCCGATGCAAATGCAAAACAATTTTACATGTCATGCATAACGACACACGGCCAGTCCATCGACTGCATGTTGTAGACACTGCGTGTGAGCTCCTGCACATGCCAATGGTGACTTACAAGCGCGATGGAATTGCCAAATTCCTCTTCCGCAGCGTACCCACTTCGAAAGAAATCAAGCACTGAGCACTTCAACGTGACCAGCCAATCACATGAAAGTAGCCGTTAGCGATCTGACTATATTTAGTGACGCTTGCATTCATCAGCGACGCAAATTTGGGGTTTTACGTTGTCTAGCTGGCAAATGGTCGATGCAAGCAAGTCAAACCACGCCGTGACAGCGCTGCTTTCGCAATGGGCAGAATGCGGACGCCTCTCGTACAAATTCTACGTGACAGCCGTCGCCAGCGGCCGCGACGGCAAGCCTCGCATGATGGCTACCTTCAGCAAGCCTACCGTTCAGACACCTGCCCCCGAGGCAGTGGCCCGGCTGTACTTTCATCTAAGCACAGATCACCAGCGAGTACGCGGCTTCACGGTGGAGCAGGACCCGCACTTCCACGACCTCGAGGCAGTCAAGTTCGATGAAGAAGTATTAGATCGCGTTATTCGACGCAAGCTGCAGTTGCAAGCTGCACAACTCGTTGATCTCAGCGACGAGTTCGCCTCCACGCGTGTACCGGCGGTCATACGTGCACGCGCAGATGAGCAGCGCGAACATGAGCGTGAAGCGATGGAGGAGTATCTACTCGAGCAAATGCAGCACAGCGACTCGTACAATGATGGTAAACTGCTGATCGAGTTGTTCCGTGAGACCATAGACGCGTTGGAGCTGGATCCTCGCGTGGTACCGCGCGAAGTGCTGTTAGCGCTTGTCGCTTCAGACCGAGACGACATGATAACGTACAGCGATTTTGTGTCTGTAGCTGCAGACGTAATTGATGCTATGGTCGGAGCGCGGCAGACTGACGATGGGAAGACAACTTCGCGTGAGGACAAAGAGGACGAGGCGCTAGATGCATTTGAGGTGGTGACGGCTCGCCAAACTCATTATACAGTGGAAAAATTGACAGCACTCGTGGAGGCACATGCGGAGCGGGTTGCTGAGGCAGCCAAAGCCATGGCTGCCCGCCGGGTTGCAGCCGAAATGGAAGCTCAACAGGAAACAACCACTGCCATCCCCGAGGAAACCAAAGAAGATGAAAACGAAGAAGAAGAGGACCATAAAGACGCGAAAGCTACACCGGGGGCCGAATCAACTGCTGGTGATGTAGCTGAAGACAGCGAGAGCTTACAAGAAATATCTTACTCCTCTGATCATCGTAGATCTTCAGCTAATCAGCACCCTCGAATGACGCGATACCAGTTGCGATCTCTCCTCGAGACGCCACAACTACTCCTCAGTAACGCGGAGATAAACCTCACGATAGCTTTAGCGGAGACAACGACCAACTCCAGCGGCGTCGAAGAGGTTCTCTGCGAGAAGCTGGCGCCACTGCTGCGCCGGGTGCGTCGGATGATCTTCCGCTTCCAGTGCAAAGGATTCGTTGACCGAACGGAGAAATACTTGCTAAACCAGTTCCAAGCCTTTGAGAAGCGAAATTTACAGGGCACCTCAAAACACTTGAAGCAACGCTTAACACAGAAAGAGGTGAAAAAGGCGATGGGGAATATGCAAAAGCTGTTGCTCTCCCCGTATCAACTAATGCAGCTTGCTGCACTAACCGAAGAACGACCTGGGGAGGCTGACCACGAAGTGTATTACCAGGAATTTGTTCCTCACATGACCCAGCACCTGCGTGAACTAGTGAACGTGAATAAGTTGGCCGAGAAGTCTACTATGCTTCATGAAATGGGTGTCTGGGACTTCGATACGGTAGGTCTACCGAGTGAAGACGTTGTCAGGCAAGCTAGTTTCGACTGTTTTGCCAGCTTTGACAAGACGCAGTTTGGCGCTATCCCGATTGGAGACTTCCACACAGCTCTTCACCAACTCGGCCAAACTCATGGCTTCCCTGTTGGGGGGATGACGGAGATGAAGCAACTAAGCGTGCTGGCAGATCCAAACGGCAGCGGGCGTGTAAATTACGCCCTTTTCCAGCATCTCATGTACCCTCTGATGCTATTTCTTCTCCAGGAGCGCGACCTAGCTGCTGCGAAGGAAACCTCGCGGGTGCGATGTGTTAAGCAGGAAGTGAACAGCGAGTAGTAAACTGGAGACGCTGGAGACAGATGACATAGTGGTAAAACAATAGTTGAAATCTTCTTTTGAAAACAAATCTATAGTGTGACGGCTCACATCGTAATTCTGTATCTATTGGACGTGTCTAATTAGTCGGGCAGATTGAAGAGTGCTACCTACATAGAGAAGCGATCCTCTAACTTGTACTCTCCACGCATGGATGACAATTGCTTGACAGCCTCGAAATGTTGAAAACTTGCCAAACCACCGGACACTTCAGAAATCGATCGCTGTCGTCGAGATTGAACAGTGAGGTTGCTCATGGAATATCGACGTCTACGGCTTTCCACCCCCTGCGTCGTTTGCTGTAGCGAGGATAGCCAGTCAGGTGGTGTATACTCCTTAAGGCTGACATATCCATGGTGTGACTGTGGTGGTTTTCCGATAAAATCGACGAATGCGTCACAGTTTCTGGCTACCGGGTGGTTCTCGATCCACTGCAGCAATACCTGGAACTTGGCGCTCCGATCATCCAGAACAACCTTCGAAGAAGATGTACGCCGCAACATACTTTTCAGTGCTGGAGAAACGAATTCCTTAGCTGGGAATGGAGGAATGCTGTTTGTACTGCACTCCATGCCAATAATCAAGTCGCGAATCTGCTCGTACAACTGCAAGAAATCGCTGTAGCGTCGTAGAATGGAGTAGTGCTCCACGTCGGTGGCCGCCAACAAGGAACCGCTCAGCCTGCCATCTTCAGAGCTGGCATCGCTGACGTCGTCATCGATAAACGTCGACATTTGCACTTCTTGGAAAACGGACACGTTCACACGATAGAACCACGGACTTGTAGCTGACGGCTGCGATACATCATCGATAACAAACTCACGTCGCGGTCCATGTGGGGTCTTGCTGAACTGCGGCTCTGAGGAGGTGCTCGTTCTCATTGGCAAGTAGGTCTGCGTGAAATAATCCTGAGCAGGTCAAGTGTGGTGCACAAAGGATTTTGCATAATGGCAATGAGCACGAGAACATTTTTTTTTGGATAAAGCGGACGACACCAAATACTAACACTAAACAATCGACAAAACAATCAAGTACACAGCGTCTGTTATAAGATGATACCGGTGGATGGAAGTGTTCGATGTGAATTGGAATGGCCACACAACGCATGGTGTGGAGCGAATACCTTTCCAGAATATTGAGATGGGAAGTCATCACAAGAATTATCCTAGCGTCGGCCGTTAGTTCGACTGCTGTTTTTCGGGGCAAATCGCGCACGTGCCGCGTCCTCATTATTTCGTACTAGTGTGAAATTGCTTTCACGTTGTTGCTTACGCTAAGCGCGCCAACCTAACAACCACCTGACAACTTAACCGTGTGTAGCCATTTTTCAAATTTTGGTTTCAACGTCGTACATAACCGGATGCTTCTTCACCAATGAGAAGCGAACGCTGCTGTGCATTGCTTGACGCAGTTCGTGCAAAAGTGCTTCACATGCAGGCGACGCTGACTGAGTGCAGAGAAGACAACTATTTCCAAATAGCGTTTATAGCTCGCCAAACGTTACATGCTGCACTAGCCCCTCCAGTGCTCATGTCAGCGAGCATCATCAGATTCGGTTGTTATTCTTCAATTCCTAGCTCCACCAGTAGTGACCTTCGCCGCATTCAGTTGGTTGAACTCCACCCGTCAACTTGCACAGTATCAGCATGGCCAGCGCGAGATCAACGTTTAATACCCGCCGCACCGCCAATATTAGTGACAACAACACCACGTACCGGCGGCACTAACCTGTTGACGAAAGTCATCAGTACTGTATTACATGGTAAATAGCACCGGATTACTGACACATGTACAACTTAACACCTTGCTGGCATAGCATGTAGCCTGTTGCTACATTTATTGCTGGGAGCTCCACAGTACCGCTCCAGAGGCCAATAACACGGATCGCGTGGTCATACGAGCACGAGTTCCGTAAGAGAGACTGCTGCAGTGCGTGAACTTGGGCGCGTATAGCCGTTAACACCAACAACTTCAATTTACCAAGCGGTTTTGATAACTTCGTGCACCGAGTTTGCCATTTACAGCGCTTGCACCATGCATATCAACAGCCTGCTTTCAATCCCGGAGAATCAACAGTGCCTACAGCTCACCGCCAGCGCGCATCAGATGCGGCATCCAGCCGTAAGGCCATCCATTGTGGAATCCCGATGAGTGCGGTCCGACTCCGCTCTTTGGATTGCTTGCCGCCACGCACGAGCGGGTAGTGTGCCAAGCAGCCATTGGCTGCCGGCAAAGCAGTCACACCATCTCCTCCCTTCGACACCCACCACTCGCCCAGTCTCTGCGGCTTCAATCGGCCAGAAACCTTGCGTCGGCCGCAGCTGCGGATGGAGCAGACATCGTATCTTTGCTGCCTGCCAAGCATGCGCCTGGACCCAACCTAGGCAGCACTTCCTCGGGTTGGCGGCGGTGTGGCAACAATCGACTAGTGCCCGATAATGCACAAAATGCCTAGGAAATCAACACCTCGGCACCAGTAAAATGGGGTCCATGACGACGTCGAATGTCGCGAGTTCCAGAAGGTTGAAGCAGCAAAAGATACCGTCTGCATAGGGTTTATTCATTTAACCTCGAGGTTTTTTTTGAGGTTTTATCATTTCTGAGTCGGATAATGCCGCACAAGGACAGGCTTACAGACCCATTTTGGGGGCAAGAGGCCCATTCAGCAATAGTCCCAGCCGACGCAGGCTCGTCCTACAGCGATGCATCTCGTCGCAGTTGCATCCATTGATCGCAGCCTCCGACCTCGCCAGTTCCGTGCTTTGACATAACTGTAAATGCACTGCTGTGCTGAAGCCCACGGATAGACGTCCACGCTCAGGACAGGGTACACCCTTCCTTTTTTTCGAGAGCCATAAGCCGCAGCGATTGTCTCCAACGCCTCCGACAAGCTGTAAGAAATGCACCATGCATCGCTTTCTATCGTGCGGCCTCTCTTCTTCGAGCCAGGTTGCCACAATTCTGAACAAGACAGTCGCCAGTCGGTCCAACACGAACGCCGTGATATCGCCCCACGGTGTACATACCATCGCATTGTCGTCGGTTGCTGGCGCTCTGTACTACAGAGCTACAGACTGTAGCGCTTCCTTGTAATCAGATGCGCGGTGATGTCTAATGTTGGTCTCAAGCTTCGAGCGTGGTGTTGATCATCATCAACTTGATGAGGCGGGCAATTTCCGCCGTCAAGACCACTTCAACTTGAGCCATACAAATCTTCATACATTTATCAGTGCCTATTTCAGCGTATCCAAGCTTACCCATTTTCAACTGATGGGCATCAAATCTTTGCCTGATCGAATCAGATGTGGCAAAGGTGGGAACGGAAACAGCAACCACGGCGGGAATGTATACCGCATAGAGAGAGCAAGTACTCGGATCTTTGGCCAACAAAGACCAACGGCTCCCGTTGATTCTCACGGCATTTCGGATTTTGCCTCCTTTTTCCTGTTTTGTTGGCGAGATCATGGCGGAAGCTTTCGAAGCCTACGCCTACGTGGTGACCGCGGGTGTCTTCGGCATCCTGTTCGCGGCCTACCTCTTCTGGGAAGTGTCCAAGGTCAAGGTGACTCGTCGTGGCGATGGTTACGCGCTGCTGGCGTCGGAGGTGCGCCACCAGACCGCCGACCGTCTCTTTGAGATCTTCTGCGCCATCCAGGAGGGTGCTCGCGCCTTCCTGCTGGCTGAGTACACGCTGTGCTTCGCCTTCATCATCGTCTTCGGTGCCGTCGTGCTTGTGCTCACGTCGTTCGTTAACAAGGACGGCAAGCAGTTCGACTGGCTCTTCGGCACGCTGAACGCCACGGCTTTCGCTGTTGGCGGTCTCACCTCGATGGCTGCCGGCTACATGGGAATGATGGTGGCTGTCTACTCGAACGCCCGTACCACGGTCTCGGCCATGAAGGAGGGCGCTCGCGGTTGGCGCGACTCGTTCAACACGGCGTTCCGTGCTGGTGCCGTCATGGGTTTCGGACTGAGCTCCATGGCTCTGCTGGTGCTGTTCATCCTGATCAAGGCGTTCGAGACTCAGTACCCGCTGTCGACTGACCACAAGAAGCTGTTCGAGGCCATCTCAGGCTACGGTCTTGGTGGTTCCTCCATTGCTATGTTCGGCCGTGTGGGTGGCGGTATCTACACCAAGGCTGCCGATGTCGGTGCTGATCTTGCTGGCAAGGTCGTTGAGAACATCCCTGAGGATGACCCGCGTAATCCCGCTACCATTGCTGACAACGTCGGTGACAATGTCGGTGACGTTGCTGGTATGGGCTCGGACCTTTTCGGCTCGCTTGCTGAGTCGACGTGCGCGTGTTTGGTGATCTCGACTCAGAGCCCTGAGATCATTGGTGCCGGCTGGCCTGCTGTTCTGTTCCCTCTGGTGATCACGGCTACGGGTATCTTCGTGTCCGCCATCGTGAGCTTCCTCGCTACCCACGTGTGGCCCGTCAAGAAGGAGAAGGACGTCGAGCTTGTGCTGAAGGTTCAGCTGTTCGGCTCCACTCTGCTCATGACTGTTCTGATCATCCCCGTTGCTCTGTGGCTGTTGCCGTCGCACTTCTCTATCGGTACGGCGTACCAGGTGACTCCCATTCGTGCTTTCTACTGCGTTGCTGTCGGCCTGTGGGGCGGCTGCATCGTCGGCTTCGTGACCGAGTACTTCACCTCGCACAGCTACAAGCCCGTGCGTGAGGTCGCCCAGGCTTGCGAGACTGGTGCCGCTACCAACATCATCTACGGTCTTGCTCTTGGTTACAAGTCGGCTATCATCCCGATCACCATCATTGCCATTGCTGTGTACGTTGGCTTCTCGACTGCTGGCATGTACGGTGTCGCTCTTGCCGCTCTTGGCTTCCTCGGCACGCTCGCCACTTGCCTGGCTATTGACGTCTACGGCCCCATTTGTGACAACGCTGGTGGCATTGCCGAGATGGCTGAGCTGCCCGCTGAAGTGCGTGACAAGACCGATGCTCTTGACGCTGCTGGCAACACCACCGCTGCTATTGGCAAGGGTTTTGCCATTGGTTCGGCTGCTCTTGTGTCATTGGCCCTGTTCGGCGGCTTTGTCACTCGCATTGAGGAAACTTCTATTAACATTCTTGAGCCGATCACGTTCGCTGGTCTGTTCATGGGTGCCATGCTGCCGTACTGGTTCACTGCCCTGACGATGAAGTCGGTGGGCACTGCTGCTATGGAGATGGTCAAGGAAGTCAAGCACCAGTTCGCCACGATCCCTGGTCTTCTTGAGGGTCTGCCCGGCCACGGCCCTCCGGACCACGCTCGTTGCATCAAGATCTCGACGGACGCTTCTCTGCGTGAGATGATCCCGCCTGGACTTCTCGTGATGCTGTCCCCTATTATCGCCGGTACCTTCTTCGGTGTCCATGCCGTGTCTGGTCTGCTTGTTGGCAGTCTGACTTCGGGTGTTCAGCTCGCTATCTCGCAGTCGAACACTGGTGGCGCCTGGGATAACGCCAAGAAGTTCGTGGAGAAGGGATGCGTCTCCATTGAGGACAAGGAAGGCAAGCTCATTGTGCAGGGCAAGGGTAGCGCCATCCACAAGGCCGCCGTTATCGGTGACACTGTGGGTGACCCGCTCAAGGACACTTCCGGTCCGGCCCTTAACATTCTGATGAAGCTGATGGCTATCATCTCGCTGGTGTTCGGAGACTTCTTCAAGAGCATCAACAACGGCCGCGGTCTGCTGAACGTGCCCTCTGATGTTATGTCGGCTGCTGCTGCCCCCGTTGTGGAGGTCACGGCTGCTCCCCAGTTGTAAGCTCTTTTCTGCTGTAGACCGACTGCAAAATGCCTGAGTGTTTTTCAGTTTGGTGTGTGGAGAAAGCGTGGCCTGCTCTGTAGAGTGTAAAAAGAAGAGGAGGAGAGCAGGGCTACCTGTTCTGTCTTGTCATCTTTTCGTAGTGAGCCGTGCTTCGGTATAGCTAGTTGCAGTCACTGCGCTTTGCGTTTAATTTTGCAATAGAGCTTGCCGATGCACTATAAAAATCTTCTTTTAACGCTAGGGTTAATCCAGGTTCACTACAGGAGTCTTTCGACTACAGTATCGGTTAATTCAGATACTAGAAGCACAGTACCTGTACCGTCGAAGTACATTTTGTCACTCGGATGTGACGAAGGCGAAATGTTGCTTGAAACCATTCAAGTGTTCGGAATAACCAACATTGCAGCTTTGCAGCTCAGCAGCTCCTCTAGGATGGTCATTGTTTTCAGAGGTAGGATCGCTGCCGCAAGCTTTCGCATCTTGGATTTACAGCCGTGTTGACAACTGGGTATACCAAACGCCGTCCACGTTTAAGCAATGAATAAAAGCATTCGTTTGCTCCCAGAAGTACCGATCGGCTGATGTGGTTTTGCTTCATCATGCTCTAGGTCATATATGGCAATGACGTGGCGCACTCCGACAGAAGAATGCGGTGAGCTATTATAGCGCGGCGCTCGTGAGGACTCTTTCCTGATCTACTCTAACGTGACGTGATGAATACAAGCGGCAGCGCGCTGATCGTCGGCATCCAGTGGCCATCTAGCGCTTGCCACACACGTTTGTTTATTCGAGAAAAACGGTATCCGATAATAGCTCTGGTCGGCCCGCAACTTCAGTTTTTGGTTTATGCTTCCCTGATAGAGTTAACCACAAGCCGTTGTATCGACAAATCTAGCTGAGATAGGGGTGGGAATTTTGTAGATTCGACTCGCGTATTGACAGCGCTGCTACGGCGGTATATTGACGCCGTGGTTCGAACGGGCAGCGCAAGAAGCACTCGGCTGTATCGACAAGCTGCCATGCGAAGCAGAGTGGCGTTGGCGACATGGTTGGGCTACTACACCCGCGTCTTCTATCGCGCCACAGTGAGTGGTGACTTGTGGCGGACTTGAATGCGTCGGGCGGTGGTTGAAGTGGCGCCTCGATATGTGGGACTTTCAAATTTAAATTTATACTTGAATTTTGTATGTGGTTCGATCGATAACATCAGCGGTTGTGTAGGGGTGCGGTTGAAGTGGTGCACCCATTTTGGGTTAAATTGCTGTACTCAATAAAATGTGCCAGTAGAAGCATTGGTTGGTTAGTCTGCAAATAAAGACCGACCTTTTTTGCGGGTGAAACGTGCCTTGACCTTCCATATTTTGATGAAAGACCCACGCTTGTTTTTTCGGCCGAATTGATCTTCATAGGAGACAGTTGGCCAACGTTGATCCGCTTCCCTCGATGCGTACGTCGCCGCCAGTCGACTCGACACCCTGGCAGCTGCTGACGTTCTCGGCTTGCAAGTCGGCCCACTTTGCAATTCACCCCAAGCAACACAAGCAAGCTACTGAGCGGGACCAAGATGAACGAGAAGGGCGAGAAGATATTCCCCAACCACAAGGGCCACCCGGAGCATGAAGTAGAGCTCAAGAGCTCATGGATGCTCATTTCCAAGACACACTTGTATCTCGGCGCTGTGCTGGTGTTCCTCGTCGGCATGCTTTCGGGCGGCGGCTACTACTACCGCACATCGATGAACCTCGCCGAGAGCCTCGGCGCCACCGCCGTAGCACAGTCGTCCAACAACCACCCTACCGTACTCGTGACCGGCGGCCTCGGCTTCATCGGCAGTCACGTCGTTGAGGACTTGATCGCCAACGACTTCAACGTGAGTGAACCCCGTTATAATAATTGATGCAAGCTTTGCCGTGAATTCTGACAAATTATTTGCATTTTTGTAGGTGGTTGTGTATGACGACATGAGCAACGGCAAAAACTTTAACAAGGACGTCTCGGCCGTGCTGGTCAAGGACATTACCGTGGTGAACGACTTCTCGTACATCGTCCACAAGGTGCGCAGATTCGTCTCCATTTTCGTCCCTGTCTTTATCACTTCGTGTGGTTCGGAGCTTGCACCTGACTCGCCTATTTTTTGTTGGTTGTCAATTTCAGATCGACTACATCGTGCATCTGGCTGCTGCCATTTCCGTCGAGGAGAGCACGCGTTTACCTGAGAAGTACCAGCGCATTAATGTTGAGGGATCACGCAAGGTGCTTGACTGGGCTGTCAAGAACGGTGTTAAGCGTGTGGTCGCTGCCTCTTCAGGCGCTACCTACGGCACCCCAAAGGTGGAGGATCTTCCGCTCCGCGAAGAATCTGCGACTGGCGGAATTTGCGCGTATGCGACGACCAAGTTCGAGATGGAGCAACTTATGGCTCAATTCCACGAGCAGTTCCGCCTCAAGTCGACAGCACTGCGTTTCTTCAATGTGTACGGCCCCCGTCAAGACCCCCACTCGTCGTACAGCGGTGTCGTCTCGTGGTTCATGGAGCAGGCCAAGATTAACGGAACACTGAAGGTGAC